TAGTCATTTGAGGCAAAGTTCTCTATGCCCGGCAGTCTAAACTTCTCGTAGTCGAGAAAATGAAATAAGTACGATAAAGCAAACACATGACTGAAAATATTCTTCCTTTCAAGCGCTTTTCTAATTTCATGAAATGAAACGACTACGAATCCAGAAATGAACACTCTTTAGTTCTTTAAACATATTAAGCGCTTTCCAAGCGATCCAGAAGCAAAGCGTAGAGTGTTAGTTGTTTTCAGTTCAAAATTATGAGTGCCGGGCATCGTATATTTCCCCTATTTTGAAACCGCCGATCAAGCTCAGCGCTTGACATTTCTCTGCAAAGGAAGAATATTTTCATGTCTGTAAACGTGGTTGTTTTATATTTCATTTTCTCAAGAAATTTAGACTGCCGTGTATGTACATAGTCTTTCGCGAGGTAAAAATTTCGAAGTGCCTCAAATGACTATTTCGTATTCTGTGCCGAGGACAAGGAATTTGCTGAAATTCAAATCTACTGAGCTCACGGCAAGCGCTTGACAATTCTCAGTGAAATAAAACGGTTTGATACGTTCAATCAAAATAGACTTTTATAAGGCAGTTAGTCTTTTGCGACCGAACTTATGGCCTGGGACGACTTCACAAGAGTTGCGCCAGTCCCCTCTCGGACAAAATAATTTGGAACACTTAATTTTGGTTTTATTTTTTCGATTCCGTACCAACCGTTTACAAGAAAAATCACCAAACCAACACAGAAATTATTTTAAGCTTTGTAAGAATTGTTTTATAGATAAAATAAATCGTAAAGGTGCACTTTAACAGTATTTAACAGGGATATATTTGAAGCATGCTCGAAAAACAGAGTGTTTTTTTTTAAAAAGAAATTGCTTTCATTCTTATGCCTTTTCATCAAACATGGCTGCCATCATGTGACGGAAATAACCGCTAAATAGCTGAACAATATTGAAAAATGAACAACTTATTTTTCTCCATATTATTATTAGACTTGGTAGTGGGTTTGTGAAGCTCAGTTTCTGATACTGTTTCCATCGATACTGCTTTCTTGTCCGAGGTRATCTCTAATCTCTCTTCGATCTTCAGATCTTGCAGGGCTTGCCTATACTCTTTTGTTTTATCTAAGTTACAAGCGTAAACAACGAAAACTAACAAAAACGCGAAAATAAAAAATGATGCAAACGTATAAAATGCAGGAACGTAAGAACCAGTCCAATCAGCAATAAAACCTGAAATCCAATAACAATCAATGATCACAACAGAAAAAATCAGTATAACAACTAAAATAGAGATCGATTCACAGCAAACTATCGATGTACTAGTAAGATAAAATTATTAACATTTTCATCACTGCAATTACCTGTAAAATGTGAAATTCAATTTCAACTTATATGTCATGACATTTGAAGCCAAATTGCTACACGTGTTTTTAAGACTGAGCAATTTTTAAACAAACAAGGCGAGAGGGACACAGAAAACGACCGTCCCAAACACCACAAAACGGTTGTGAAAATATAATTATAATGTTAAAATACTAAGGTATGCTTCTTCTACGTTGATTTTTTGTCTTTGAAATTTTCTAAGCTCTTCTCCACATAATTGGGACATCAAATTAATATACTGGGACATTAAATTAATATACTGGGACATTAAATTAATAATATACTGGGACATTAAATTAATATACTGGGACATTAAATTAATATACTGGGACATTAAATTAATATACTGGGACATTAAATTAATATACTGGGACATTAAATTAATATACTGCGCGTGCATTGAAATAACAAACATCAATTAAAACACTAAATTTGAGGATCAATTAAAATAGGAAAAGATAAAATGTTCTGACTAGTTAATGTGAAGAGTTCTTTATAAGAATCAGGCAAAGTTCGTCCACTATTTGTGTTGAAAAGGCAGTTTTTGTTCTTTGAGATTTTAATCGCTTCAAGCTAGCGTCTGTGTACCCATCTACAATGGAGGAATAAATATGCTGGACACTATGTATTTGTATTGTTTGTTTTGTAATGTTTACATTATTTCAGGCAATTTGACTTGCTTCTGCAGACCTCAAGACCCCGCAAGACCCCCGCAAGACCCCCTCAAGACCCCCGCAAGACCTCATTTTGATAATTTCTCATTCAACATTTGCAAAAAAGGACTATCATAGAGGATGTCCACAAAAATAAATTCCATGATTGTCTGAAGACATGATTAGGTCAAAAGGCCTGATTTTCGATACAGAAATGAAGCCTTTTCAGTATACAATTAGTCAAATTAATCAAAACACATTTTTAAATAAACAGTTGTGTAAAAAGATAAATTTAACATCGTAAAAAATTATGTGGAATAACTTATTGACGTTTCGGACGTTAATCCTTCGTCGGAGTCATCATCATCATTCCTATTACGCCTAGGTGGCATGTAGGGCCGCTACTAAGAATTTCCACCTCTCCCTATCCTTTGCTAGATGTCAGATTTCAGATGTCCGAAACGTCAGTAAGTTATTTCACATACTTTTTTTACGGTGGTAAATTTATCTTTTTACACAACTGTTTCTTTAGAAAAACCGACGCAGCTCACACTAGTTTACCGCTAGTTCCCACCACATTTTTAAATGTTGAAACTGTGAATCATACCCAATTAGCATATGGCGTCATGATATAAATTATATAAGTAAATATGTTCTTTTGGGCATATAGTTTGAATAGAAAAAGTGACTCGAGAAGATTGATATATATATTTTTACAAGGACTACAAACTGACTCGAGTTTCACGCAAATTGTCCGATCATCAGGCTAGTGATCTAATTGTTCGATGCTCTTTTTTTAGTGTAGTCTTTTTGGAGGTGTAACATTTGTTCTCGTGCCTGCATTTGGCCACTAGTTCAGTTCTTTTGTTGAGAAGTGATGGATTCTTTTCCATGAGAATGCAATTTTTTTCGGTTAGACACAGGTTGCACCTTGAGGGATTTCCATTGTATGATTTAGCGTGTTTGATGACTTTCCATTTTATTTGGAATTCGATTTTGTTGTTCTTTAAGTCCCATACATGTTTGCTTAGCGTGGTTACGAGAAGATTTATCATTTTTTACTAATGGATATTTCGGCCTTTATCCAAAGTCCATCGACTGCATATTGAACTTACATGAATAAATTACAAAATTAGTTCATAAAACTCAAGAGAATTGCCCTATTTCATTATGACGTCACAGTATGTTTACATCGGAAAACGATGCTCAAAAACAGCGGAAAGTTGGACCCATTTATATTGTCGACTAAAGTAGAACTTCAGTGAATCGTGTTTTGATATATATCATGTATAAATGATACTCATGTACATTTTATTTGAAATGCAGTCACTCTGATCCCTTCAGTATAAATCTATAGAAACATCGCGTACATGGAGGAATTTGTAGTTGAATAAGCGCTAACTTACATGCATCATATCAGTGTTAGCCCTGTCTATGCTACCAGCTTTAACTAGTGGTGCTCCGGACGTAGCAAAGAACGGAGTATCTTTTTAGTAAATTCAATGTCTTTACTAGAAAAACGTTTAGGTGCGGGTAAGTGAGCAGTATCCCCTTCAAGTAATTGCGAAAAGTCTCCCCAAGCTATTATTGATGGGTGCCATCGAAAATCGTTTAGAATTACCACTTAATTCCACCACGGAATTCTTAGCACCTATCCAGCAAATGTTCCAGTAGCGGGATTAATAAAGTCGCGATATAGATGACTTTTAGAGGACTGATTACAAATGTCTTCCCTGTATTCGCTGCTCTATATAAATTTCCCTATATTTGCCTCTTCCACGATCCAAATATTGTAGACAGCGTTGTRAAAACTTGCTAAACTTATTTCGACTCAATATATTGCCTCACTCTTTCCATCCTCTTATTTAACTTCAAACCCATATGGTAGTGCTTCTGGTTTGTTTTGTTGTCATTTTCATTGTAATTTTCTTGAGAAACGACCCAATGTTGTACCTGAGCCACGCGTGCATTTCTTCAAAACAATGTATGATAATCCTTGTAAAACTTTCTCGACCAGGTATTTCGTTAGGTCAGCACGACTATACATAATTAAATAGACGTTCGAATAGTAGAAGCCATATCTACTTTGCAGTGTGATTAACAGTACATTTTATAGCCAACAAGCGCGATAATTGGATTATTTAATATGACGAGAGCACACTTTACGTCATGTATTACCCACCCGTTATTTATGCGTTTATGTAAGACATAAAAAAGTTATACGTAAAGGGACAGATATACATTGGTAAGCTCGTACAAAAAGATTAAACATAAACTTTGCAATAAGTTACTATATCCAATATCTTTTGTACCTTCTTAAGACAATAGAGGAATTAATATGCTGGACACCATGTATTTGTATTTTTTGTTATGTAATGTTAACATTATTTCAGGCAATTTTTCCCCCCTTCCACCCCCTAACAATGTTGGTTAAGGCATGTTTTACTTCTGCAGTTCCCGCACGACCTCATTTTGATACTTTCTCATTTAACATTGATCAAGGGCGAGGATTAGAGACTCCCGCCATGTGATATCGTGTCCTGTGTGGTTTGCATGGTCTGCTAATGCAGACTTGTTTTGTCTAAACACACACAGTTCATTTGTTCTTTCTTTTGCGTGGCGAAAGCTCTACCTGTCTATCCAATACCACATTGCAGTCTTGGCATGGAATCTGGTATATAACACCAGTTTTCTGTTCTTGAGGGACAAGGTCTTTTGGTCTCGACAATAGCTCTTTTCAAAGTTGACACTGGTTTTGCAGCAGATTTGATTCAAAAAGCCATGTAAAACTCGCTGGATCTATTTTACATGAGGTAGAACTGCATACCCCTTGGATGGTTCAGTATTTTTATCATGTTCTTTAGATTTGTTACTATTCCCTTTRTTGTGACGATAAATAAATTTRCTAGGGCATCCATTTGATTTCAAAACTTTGTTGAGATGTTTCTTCTSCATTATTACATTATCATTTTGGTTTGGTAATGTTTCAGCTCGAGAATATAATATTTTGACTACAGAGATCTTATGTTGCGGAGCATGGTGACTAGCAAAATKTAAATATCTATCCATATGAGTCTTCTTACGGTAGACTGTAACGGTTATCCTTCCGTCATCTAAAATTACACACTGTTGGTCTCAAGGAATGGTAAACCTGTTGGAAAGTATTTCTCAACAGTAAACTTAATATAAGGCTTCATCTTATTGTTCACGACAGCTGACCCTTGAATTGTAAGTCAGTTGCATCCAAGCAGAACGACAGGAGTGATGATATTTCTGTAGGTCTCAACTGCGTCCGTTCAGCTAAAGTTTGAGCAGCTTGATAAAGCGGCATCGCTTACTTTTACATGGCTTTGGAATCAAATATCTTGCCAAACCAGTGTCAGCTTTGAAAGAGCTGCTATCAAGGCAAAAAGATCCTTTTCCTTCAGAACAAGATTGCAATGAGNGAAATGCAGTCACTCTGATCCCTTCAGTATAAATCTATAGAAACATCGCGTACATGGAGGAATTTGTAGTTGAATAAGCGCTAACTTACATGCATCATATCAGTGTTAGCCCTGTCTATGCTACCAGCTTTAACTAGTGGTGCTCCGGACGTAGCAAAGAACGGAGTATCTTTTTAGTAAATTCAATGTCTTTACTAGAAAAACGTTTAGGTGCGGGTAAGTGAGCAGTATCCCCTTCAAGTAATTGCGAAAAGTCTCCCCAAGCTATTATTGATGGGTGCCATCGAAAATCGTTTAGAATTACCACTTAATTCCACCACGGAATTCTTAGCACCTATCCAGCAAATGTTCCAGTAGCGGGATTAATAAAGTCGCGATATAGATGACTTTTAGAGGACTGATTACAAATGTCTTCCCTGTATTCGCTGCTCTATATAAATTTCCCTATATTTGCCTCTTCCACGATCCAAATATTGTAGACAGCGTTGTRAAAACTTGCTAAACTTATTTCGACTCAATATATTGCCTCACTCTTTCCATCCTCTTATTTAACTTCAAACCCATATGGTAGTGCTTCTGGTTTGTTTTGTTGTCATTTTCATTGTAATTTTCTTGAGAAACGACCCAATGTTGTACCTGAGCCACGCGTGCATTTCTTCAAAACAATGTATGATAATCCTTGTAAAACTTTCTCGACCAGGTATTTCGTTAGGTCAGCACGACTATACATAATTAAATAGACGTTCGAATAGTAGAAGCCATATCTACTTTGCAGTGTGATTAACAGTACATTTTATAGCCAACAAGCGCGATAATTGGATTATTTAATATGACGAGAGCACACTTTACGTCATGTATTACCCACCCGTTATTTATGCGTTTATGTAAGACATAAAAAAGTTATACGTAAAGGGACAGATATACATTGGTAAGCACGTACAAAAAGATTAAATAACATAAACTTTGCAATAAGTTACTATATCCAATATCTTTTGTACCTTCTTAAGACAATAGAGGAATTAATATGCTGGACACCATGTATTTGTATTTTTTGTTATGTAATGTTAACATTATTTCAGGCAATTTTTCCCCCCTTCCACCCCCTAACAATGTTGGTTAAGGCATGTTTTACTTCTGCAGTTCCCGCACGACCTCATTTTGATACTTTCTCATTTAACATTGATCAAGGGCGAGGATTAGAGACTCCCGCCATGTGATATCGTGTCCTGTGTGGTTTGCATGGTCTGCTAATGCAGACTTGTTTTGTCTAAACACACACAGTTCATTTGTTCTTTCTTTTGCGTGGCGAAAGCTCTACCTGTCTATCCAATACCACATTGCAGTCTTGGCATGGAATCTGGTATATAACACCAGTTTTCTGTTCTTGAGGGACAAGGTCTTTTGGTCTCGACAATAGCTCTTTTCAAAGTTGACACTGGTTTTGCAGCAGATTTGATTCAAAAAGCCATGTAAAACTCGCTGGATCTATTTTACATGAGGTAGAACTGCATACCCCTTGGATGGTTCAGTATTTTTATCATGTTCTTTAGATTTGTTACTATTCCCTTTRTTGTGACGATAAATAAATTTRCTAGGGCATCCATTTGATTTCAAAACTTTGTTGAGATGTTTCTTCTSCATTATTACATTATCATTTTGGTTTGGTAATGTTTCAGCTCGAGAATATAATATTTTGACTACAGAGATCTTATGTTGCGGAGCATGGTGACTAGCAAAATKTAAATATCTATCCATATGAGTCTTCTTACGGTAGACTGTAACGGTTATCCTTCCGTCATCTAAAATTACACACTGTTGGTCTCAAGGAATGGTAAACCTGTTGGAAAGTATTTCTCAACAGTAAACTTAATATAAGGCTTCATCTTATTGTTCACGACAGCTGACCCTTGAATTGTAAGTCAGTTGCATCCAAGCAGAACGACAGGAGTGATGATATTTCTGTAGGTCTCAACTGCGTCCGTTCAGCTAAAGTTTGAGCAGCTTGATAAAGCGGCATCGCTTACTTTTACATGGCTTTGGAATCAAATATCTTGCCAAACCAGTGTCAGCTTTGAAAGAGCTGCTATCAAGGCAAAAAGATCCTTTTCCTTCAGAACAAGATTGCAATGAGAGACAAGTAGAGCTTTCGCCAAGCGAAAGAAAGAACACATGGACTGTGAACGTTTAGACAAATGCGACAGGTCTGAATTAGCAGACAATGCAAACCACACAGGACACGATATCGCGTGGCAGGAGTATCTTATTATCCCCGCCCAAGAGCCTAGATTGGTACACAGAAAACGACCCGTCCCAAACACTTCATCCTTAAGCCTGTGTCACACGCTACGATTTTTCGTGCAACTTGTCTCCCGAATAAAATATTTGCAGGTTGCACGAGGGTTTTTCAAGTTTGACATCCCCTCGCGCGACTATTTAAAAAATATTTTGTTACTGCTGCAATAATTTTAGCAAAAGCTTACGTGTGACATGGTCATGCAACTTGTCACTTCACACAATTATCGTGGTTTACACGGTACGATTTGTCGCGCGCGACTTGTAGTATACGATTTTCCTACTACAAGTCSTAGGATTTTMAGCAGTGGTTCAAAACCCTACTACAAGTCGTAGATTGCGTACAACTGTTTTAGACAAGTCGTAGGGGCATTTACACTGCGCGATTCAAGTCGTATAACTACAAGTCGCGCGCGACAAATCCGTACCGTGTAAATTAGCCTTAAAAGATCAAGACAAGATCATTTTTATCAGTGAGCTACAGAAACATTCAGCATTGTGGATAACTAGTRAAGAGATGAAAAAACCCATGGCCGTTGAGCGTGCAAATCCCAACATTTTTTTCGCGAGACAAATTGCAGCCGACATCGTGTGTTTGACATGGTCTCGTGCAACCTGCAAATATGTTCAAATATTTCGAGAGACAAGTTGCACGAAAAATCGTAGCGTGTGACAAGGGCTTTAGTGCTTTTTTTTAATTGYGCTCCTGATGTTTGTTATTCAAATGCACGCGCAGTATGTTAATTGGTTTGAACTGTTTGCGCTGTGTTACTATAGTGTTGTTTACATTTGTATGCTCGCGCACGCATAGTAATTTCATTTTGCCCTGATGATGGACAAGTTGTCCGAAAGCTCGGTAACTACAATAAATCAACGTAGAAGAAGCATACCTTAGTACTATAACGTTTTAACATAATTCTATTGATAAGTAAAGTTTACACAATCATCACGTTTCTAGCCTTACAAAGAAAAAGAATGCACATAATGTACATCGAGGAACAAAGACATAATACACGGTGCATATTCTTACACCAACCTGCAAACGGCGAGCCAACAAGAGCTCCACAGGCTGTTACACTTTCTCCAATAGGAAAGGCGTAGATCCTATGAATGGGCTTCACTGTGTCCATAAGAAGCAAATACACACAAACTGAAAAAACGCCATAGCCAAGTCCAAATAGCACGGCAAATATAGCAAAGTATAAGTATTCGTTTGCCTGCGATAGCAGTAATAAACTTGCACCCAAGACTAAGTAGGCGAACTGACTGACGTGGAATGGAGAAACACGTTTCATTTCTGCAATTTTCCCAGCAGCAATGGATGCAACTAGTGAACAACTGCCAATAATCATAAACAGCTTGGCTGCTTTGTCAGCTGAAATTCCAACTTCCTCGGAGTATTTGATCTAAAATATTCAAAGACGCATACATAATTAATGAGTTATTAGGCCAATAGAATGACCCTATTTGGTCACATGCATGGACCTTTATATCTGATAAAACACTCCTTATTAGTATTCTTTATAYAARGAATACTAATAAGAGTGACCTTTATCAGATATAAAGGTCCATGACCTTAGCAAAGGTCTCAGGTTTGATACCTGAGCCAACAGCGGTTCTATTTTACTTTATGCGTATTCAATGTGGGATGACAAGAGTGCTTTGTAAAGTGATTCGCGCATGATCAGTTTGCCCCATTTACCTCAAAATTTATTTTTACGGCAATTTCTCCAAGAATTTTAACGTATTTGAGTTTCAAATTAGTGTTGGGGTTTTTGAAGCCGTTTAAAAAACTCGAGAGTGTTTTATCAGGTATAAAGATTCTCGTTTTTGACTCGAATCTTTATACCTGATAAAACACTCTCTCTCGTGTTTTAAACTAAACTTCAAAAATATGTGAAATAATGATTGATTGCAGTGTGCGTGTTGTGTGACAAGATCAATATAAAATTTATGAAAAATGTGATCAATTTTGTTGCTTARATATAACTTACCAGGTGCACAAAGCACACTACAGTTCCAAATGTCCCAATCGTTAAGCAAATCACAGCTATGATAAATCCAGGATCTTTAAAAAACACGAGGGTGAACTTTTGCTTCTGAATTTTCTCTTTGACTTTCTTTTTCATTCGATCTTCGTTTAGATCCTGCTCACTCATCAACTCTTCTGATTCAGAAAGAGTCTCACTTTTTACATTGGGGTCAAAAGTCACGACCAGTACAATAAGCAATGCAAATAAAGCAGCCATGATCCTATACATGTTTCTCCAGCCAACTACGTCGATTATCACTTGCATCAATGGACCAAAGGCGATAAAGCCTATACTATGTGCGCTACTAAGTATTCCAGTAGCAAATGGTCGTTGTTTGTTAAAGTACGCTGTCACAGCAAAGACAGAGCCAGTGTGGAGAAAACACGACCCAAGGCCGTATAATACACCATATGAAAAGTACATAGGAGGGACACTATTCAAGAATGACGTCATGACAAGCCCACCGGAACACGTGATACATCCTACCAAAGATGTTGCTCTAAAACCAAAKCGTTTKGAAAAGAAGCCGGCAAGCGGAGTCGCTAGAAAGGTGACACTAGTCGCCATGGAGCCAAGCCATCCTGAAATTGTAAACATATCAGTTAAACAGAATAATAGATTAATCAAGAATCAAGTCAATGTGAAAATTCGTACTATGTACAATAAATGTGGAACTTATTCATTATTAGTGGAAAATTAGTCCAATAAGATGTTTACATCAAGTTGTATCATCATTTCAAAAATACAGAAGCGTTTATCGGATTTTCGAATTCGGCTTCATTCAACAACGTTATAACAGTCACTCGTGTATTTCTTGATATATTCGAACCGCTTTTTTTGCAGGTTACTAGTGATTTACATGCTATTAACATAATGTACAACTTTCATTAAAAAAAGAACACTTTCCCAGAAAATTTTGTTCCGTTTTATTTRGATTACAGTTTGGGACCCAATAACATAAACATAACAAGCGATCTAAACTTTACACGAGCAATTTTTATGTGGCAATTGTATGTGACAATTTTTATTTTCCCGTGTAAACAATCGGAAAATGTTTGTTGTCAATTTTGCTCATCTTCACAGGCGAATAAAAATTGACACATAAAAAAATGTTCATAGTACACTGCTATGAAAGAGAAATAACATAGGAAGACAGACCATTCATGATCAAAACACTAAGAAGTCCAGCAAAACAATAGATATCAGAATCCCTCAATACTCCAATTTCGANAATTTTCACAGATGTATAAGTGATTATCGATAATTCTTATTTATAGATTAATTTGCCAAAAAATGGAAGCTATTTGGATAATCCATGCAAAATTAAAACACCTTCATTTCTCTTCCAAGTCAATTTTCTCAAAAGTCATCGCAGAGATTGTAATAAAATTTTCAGAGTCATTTCTTTTAAAATAGCATAATTGACATACTGACGAAGTTTGAATGAAATCTTAACCTAAATTTTCGAGATATTTGAGCATTTCAAAATGTCTCTCAAAACGATGAGGCCATGTTTAAAGTCCTCGTTTGTGACAATATTCGAATGTTAAATAAAAAAACTATTATAGCTTGAAAGCCAATAATCTTTCGTACAACTGTTGTCCAAGGCACATGCCCATTAGTTTACTACGAACAAAGTTATAACCATTTAATTACGCAACTAGTATATTTTAGAAATTTAAACTTCATTCCGGAACGTAAAAGAATATTTCCTTTTTAAAGGCATTAAGCGTTATCGCTCAATAATCAAATTTCCATCACCAACAAATACTGCCAGCTATATTTGAGCTTCTGAAAGGGCTACATTACGATATATATGTTGTGCACGATTTTTATTTTTGGTGAAGATGGCTTGCAGGATTTTTTTTTCAAAATCA